AGTTTTTTGCCAATAGGGACGCAGCTTTCTACGAGAGGGGTATAATTAAGTTGGCATCTCGTTGGCAACAAGTTTACGAACGAAACGGCGCATATTTCATTGTGATGATTTAAAAGATCCCTTCACGTGTAAAATTTTATATAACGCTTTGGCTCGCTCAAGTCTTAATTTGGAATACAGTTTATTCTACGCTTTCCTCTAGACTTGAAACCGCTCAGCGGTTCATTTCTCTGATCCTCTGCATATACTTCTCGATGTATGTTAATAAATCTGAAATCTCTTGCTCTTCGACGATCTACCCAGTCATTGCTATTTTCTATATGAAAGGAAGGGGTATGAGACCGTTAAAATACAATATTTTTTGATTAATTTCTTTTGATGAGCATTCATAATGTAGCTAATTAACACCGAAAATGGGATAAAAGCAAGTGCAAAATAATAATTATAATTTTATAGAAATTATAAAAAAAGCAAAAACAAAAAGTGAAATTTATTGCAACTTTAGAAACCGTGAATAAGCAACAACAAAATCATACTTTCGTTTTCCTCAATAACAAATCACGGTCGCAAAAATAACATTAAATTCAAAGAAATCGATTTTTGGTCAATTTTTTGTTAATGTTTCATACCCATTTTCATACAAATACACACACAAACGTACACACGAACCACCAAACAAACCAACATCAATGCCTATGTAGTTGGTAATTTTGATTAATTTACTGATTGATATAACGAATGCAATTTAATTTCAAATAATAGAAATTACGTAAAAACTATATACAATATGCATAAAAAACAACTACAATAAACTACAACAAAAAAAAAACACATTTAATGAAGCCCAATGGGGCAGCAAATAATGAATGGACTATAATCAAATCGCTAATAAACGCCTATAAATCGAAAAGCAAAACAAAGGAAAAAAAGGAAAAAAAATAAAAAAAATATGCACAACAAAAAAATAAGATTTCAGATATTTATGTTTGTACAAAAGCTTAAAAGTACACACAATAGAATTAAAAATGAAAAATAAGCTTGAGTCGAAAAGTAAGACCGATTGGCCATAAGACAAAAAAATAAAAATTAAAAAAGAAAAAAATAAAACTAAAAAAATGCACTACATACATATATGCTAGCTGAGCATATATAAGCATATATAATATTTTTTTATGGATAATCGTTGGCGATAATGCAATTTGAAAGGTTAAACTAAAGGGGAATGCTGTACTCACAATATTATATTGAAATTATGGTCCATGCCAACTCTAGCTAGCTATATTAAAGGGTCTTGAGTGTAGTTGTTTTTGTAACAAGCATGTAAAATTAATTTGAGTACGTAAAATTAATAATAAACTAGGCGAATGCCAAAATAAATTTGAAATAAAAATTATTTTGTAAAATATTTTCATTTAATAATCTCTGAATCACTGCGATTTCGTTAGAAATAAAGGGTGATTTTTTCGCTATTCTTTTGGTAACACTGGTTTGAACAGCTGGAAAAAGAAAATTGTGTTCAGCGACGAAGTTAATTTGCAAGAGCTATCAATGCATCCAGAAAAAGTCATAGTTTAGTGCGACTCATGGGCTGATGGCATCATTGGACCGAACTCCAATTGGCCGCCTATATCGTGCGATTTAACGTCTTTGGACTACTTTTTGTGGGGTTATGTTAAGTCTAAGGTCCATACAGACGAACCCGCTGCAATTGACGCATTGGAGGACAACATTGAAGCATTTATTCATGAGATACCGACCGAAATGTTGGAAAGAGTATATCAAAATTAAACTAAGCGGATGGACCATTTGAGACGCAGTCACGTCCAACATTTGCATGAAATAATCTGCAAACATGAAGTTATATAGACCGTACTATCAATTCATATAAAGATTTCATGCATTTTTCTGAATTTTATGTGTTTTTTTTTAACTTTCCTATAGCTCTTAGAAAATTACCCTTTACATGCGTACGACATGGGGCTCTAGTGATATTCATTCTGTTTTCTTCAGGTAGTCTATTACTTGCCTCTTTGCATTTGGTGTTGCCACACTAAAACCTGATAGATTTTTGTGTTAAAGCGATTGCTTATTTGGCAGCTTGTCTAACAACAACACAGCAATCCTTGGTTGGAAGACAGAGGTATAGTCATTGAGTTTAAGGCTACGTTCTAGGTATTGGGTTGGTCACAAAATAGCACTGTTCCTTTGCTTGCCTCGCTTTTACACTTATCTTATTTTACACTTTATGGACCCACCTCCAATTTTTCCCTGCTTGAGTAGGTGGTATTTAACCGGCAGAAGGTTTCCGTTTCTCGGTCGCATTTTACGTTTAGCACAAGTTCTGATATAATCCTACCATAACCTTCACAATTGGTCGATTGCACAGAACACTTAGGCGGCTAGCTGTACATATATGTATATATAGCTTGTATATTAATTGGCCTAATGTCAAGTATGCCGCTATAGCCAAGTGATTAGTATTGCGTACTGCCATTCATATCCTGGTATCGTACTAACCTCCAAGAAAGTTATAGAAAACTAATTTGAATAAAAAATTAAGCTAAATTTTTTAAATGCGCTCGCCCCTCGGCAGGGAATTTTCACTCCTCCGAGTATATTTCGGGCAAAAAATAAAGGCTGCTCATAATAAAAATTATCAGACGTTCGGCGGCGGCTTTGTATAAACTGTTCCCGTTTATTGGAAAAACATCAAGACCCAAACCCACAAATTGGAGGAGGAACTCGGCCGAAATTCGCTTCAGCGGTTACAAAGTGCCAAATATATATATATATATATTTTTATATATAATGTAAAGGCTGACTTTCGAAGCCTTAGTTGAGGTAGTCCTCATCGCAGCTGCTATACTAAATTGGGTTTTACTGAAATATGTACATTTATAGTTTTTTAATATTATTTTATGTTATGCTGGAGTGTCTGAATAATGTTTGAGTTTCACCGAAAATTCGTTTGAGATTTTTTGAAAATCTTTCAGGGGTGAAATGTGAATGTAATTTTCTTAAATCTGCCTAACTGATACATTTATAATAAAATTATAATCCAAAATAAGTATTCTCACCTCGGCAGTTATATGAAAGCTACATAAGTATGTATGTAAAATATTTATAAAAATAGCATGACATATTTACAAAATGTCTTCAATGCATATACACGTATTCACTATCCAATAGCCAAAGCTAAACGACTAGTTTCCGCTCCAAGAGAATTATATACATACATACATAGATGAAAATATTTTAAATCTTTTACGACATACAAAAAACGCAGATATATGCAAGTATGTACATATGTATGTATGCAAGTTGAAACCATGTCAAGCCGACATCAGCGGATGTAATTTTGTTATTAATTTGTTTTTAATAACATATGTATATGTAGGCAACGATGTCTTGTACATATGTATGTATGTGTGCCACGGTATTGCTGCAGGTGAAGAGAAAATCCAATTGACACTTGCCATTCAAATTTTCATTTCTTGTATTTCTGTTGTATTATTTTTATTTTATTTTTTTTTTGTTTTTTTTTTGTTTCTTTTTTCCTTTTTCTATGGTAAAATAAATTGGCTGACCGTTCGATTGCACGCACGCTTTTTGAGTCAAAGTGGCAATTGCATGAGGTGAAAATAAATAAAATGCAATTTTATTGAAATCAATTTATACGAAAGCGCGTGTGTGTACATATGTATGTATGTATAGTACATAAGAAGATGAGCCATCACTGTCTCTAATCAATTTGAACATCTGTAAATGTGTTTTTGTTTTCCTTTCTTTTGAAAGTAAATAAATTACATTTCATTAACTCATCAACGAAAGTATGATTAAATCTGTAAAATCGTGTGGATGCGCGTTCGCGTACACACAGTTACATATCAGGTGTACAACTTTGCTTCCGCCGTTTTTTCCAAAATTAAAAGCTTTATTGCGAAAAAAGTGCTTACAGATATATTATTCAAAGTATTATCCTTCGCTAGCGACAACTTTCTCCCGTCTTTCCGGCAATTTTCGGATCCCGGCTCGAAAAAAGGCGTCCTCTTTTGACGCTATCCATGAAGCAATCCATTTTTCCAATTCTTCGAAGGATTGGAAATGTTGCTCTGCCAGGCCGTCTGCCATCGAACGGAATAGGTGGGAGTCAGGCGACATCTGGGGAATACGGCGGGTGGGGCAAGACTTCCCATTTCAGCGTTTCCAGGTAGTTTTTGACCACTTTTGCGACGTGAGGCCGAGCATTGTCGTGTTGGAGGATGATTTTGTCATGTCGCGCTTGATATTGTGGCCGCTTTTCTTTTAGCGCGCGACTAAGGCGCATCAGGTGTGTTCGGTAGCGATCTCCTGTGATGGTTTCACCCGGTTTTGAGAGCTCGTAGTAAATCACAATGAGCTGATCCCATCAAATACAAATCATAACCTTGTTTGTCTTCGACATCGAAATCACCATTTTTAAAATGTTGAAACCACTCCCGACATGTTCTTTTACTCAGAGCAGCATCACCGTAAGTTTCTGAGAGCATTCGATGCGCTTCAGCTACATTTTTTTTTCGAATTGTAACAGAAAAGTAAAACTTCACGCAAATGGCGAGTATTAGGCACATAAACGGACATTTTCGAGCGTGAATAATACGAAAACAAGAACAATTTGTTAGGCACTGTCCACACTCACTTTAAAGGCATTATCATCTATGTATTTCAACCAGCCTCAGCCGGTACAGCCAACTATCGGAAAACGGCGGAAGCAAAGTTGTACACCTGATATATACATATGTACATATTTATATTTCTGAGCGCACGAATTTTCTTTTTACTTCGTTGTTGCAGAAGATTGACGAAATAAGTAATTAATCAAAAGCAGCGTTGTGCGCGCGTGTTCTGCATAGCTTTTGTTAATATATTTGAAAAAAAAAATTAATTAAAAATTAATTATTTTTTATTGTTATTTTATAAGTATTTTAACTAAATATGCTTAATTCTTCATTTCCTTACAGATTCACCCAACAGACTGAAACGTCCATCGCCAACTGCATCTGCGGAAAAGACACAAATCACCAAGACAGCTGGACCACCGCCGAAGGTAAGCGTCAAATTTTATTTTACCCCACCATTTTCATTTCTCACTCACTTTCTCTCTATCACTCTCTCTATCTGTCTGCTATAATCATGTCAAGCAAATTGATAACTGTTAAATTGGTTAAAGTCGTAAAAAATTTTAGTTAAATCTAACAGTGAATTGAAGTTTTAATAGTAATCTGAGTATATAATTAGTATATAGTATGTACATATGTATGTGCCTGTAGCGTGTTTAGATTATGCTTTCATTCATTATTCATTGTAAATATTTCACAACAACATTAATTTAAAAAAAAAAACAAAAAATTGATTTCTTTTTTCTGTTTTTAATTTCTTTCCCTCTTCCCTTTAACTACTGAACTCTTTTCGGTGGTAAAAATATTATATATGTATGTAAGTAAGGATTATTTTTATTTGTGTTTGGGGCCTGTACTATTAATTTTCTGATAATGTTCTGAATATTGCATATACAATAAAGAAAAATGGTAGAAGTGACAGCTGTTTCGAAGATCACCCCAACTCTCCACCGGACTCCTTATGGCTGGTATCGAAACAGCGGAACTCACTAACTTATGACGAGATTATTTGCTTGTTTGAGTTTTGAAAAAAAAAAAAATTTTTTTTGTGAAACAACTTGATATATAAATGCATATTTGAAAGAAACGAGAGTCGATTACATTGAGAAAATAAATTTTCTGAACTATGACCCAAAGATATCTAACATTAAACCTGCTCAAGCTGCCAGAAAAAATCCATCTTCTTTGCCTTGAAAAATATGCGAAATCGTTAAGAAAATTATTTGAAAATAAAATAAACTTCAGAAATGTACATAAGTATGTACATAAGTATGTTTGTATGCATATAAATAAAAAAAAATCTGCCTTTTTTCTTTCGCAAGGAATTCAAAGATGGTTCTTAAAAGACTTCTTGTTGGGTTTGTACGAACCAAAATTCCGATTTTTCCAAAACGTCAGTTTAGTTTGTAAGCGCATCGGTGATGGCTACCTCTCTTCTTCATTGGCTTGCGCACGCGCCATTCGTTCCTTCCACTTGCTGTTTGGCGCCAGTTAGAAATATCAAGTCAAAACAGGTCGCTCTTCAGCAGATCTTTCCAACACAATGGAGGTCCCCTCTTCCTCGACTTCTACCGGCGGAGGCATCAACAAGGGGACTCGCTCATCCGAAAATTTTTTCGTTCTTTCATTGGATTTTATTTATCATGTGGTGGATCCCAAATCCTACGCACAATTGCAGGCCTTTTCACCTCAACTCGCCGCCAAACGGATGTTTGTCGGCTACCCAGAGGATACTTGGTCTATGACTGAAAGTCGTGCGCTGCTTGAAGCTTCGTTTCTTACCTTTCCCAAATAAATTTCAGTAAAAATCCTTACTCATTTGCGTAAGCTACCACATGACCCCACCTTTTATGGCTAGCGCGCAGAAGAAATCAGAAATAAAAAATGGAAAAGAAAATTGTCCGGGGTAAGCAGCCGAACGTTGCATAGTGGACTGAAACAGATCACCAGAAATTGAATTTTACTTTTCAAAATATTTTTTTTTTGCGAGTGACTGCTATTCAAAATAACTAGCGAAATGTTTAGTTTTGACAGGAAAGTCGAAACCGATTGACTTCTACATCTGACAGCCCCGAGCAGTTTTAAAGTCATTTATCATTATATTGGTGTGTAATCCGGATAACTTTTTGCCATATTGAAGGTTATGTCCTTATGCCTTTCTCATAGGAACCTATTGGCGAAAAATTGGCGATTCTCATAGGCTTCTCTTGAGGCCGATTTTTCACCAGCCTTGTCACACGCCATAGACAGGAACAGATGGTAGTTAATTGATGCGAAATCTGGACTATAAGTGGGACTCATAAGCACCTCCCAACTAAGCTCTCGAAGTTTCTGGCGAGTCACTAACGGTGTATGTGATCTGACGTTGTCCTCATGAAACACTATTACCCTCCTTTTGGTCAAAGCTGGGCGCTTTTGGGCGATTGTTTCCTTCAGACAGTCCAATTGCTGACAATTCAGTTCCAAATTAAAAGTTTGGTCATGAGGGAGGGGAAGCTCATAGTGAAGAGTTCCCTGTCAATTCCATTAAACACACAACGAAATCTTCCTGGCTGTCAATTCTGTTTTGGAGACCGTTTGTGCTGGCTCGCTGACCTTCAAACGTGACCATTTTCATTTCACGTTGCTGTAAGTGAACCACTTTTCATCATCAGTCGCCATTCGCTGCAGAAATGGTTTGATTTTGGTATGATTTAACAGCTTCCATTTGAGAATGGAAATTCGGATCATGAGGTTTTTTCTTGTCAACTCATGCGGCACTCATACATCGAGCTTTTTTGTGGATATCCTGGTTTTTTCAAAACTGTGTTTTGTACAACATTTAGCGTCTGGGCAATCGTAACAGTGCTGGCATGATGGTTAGGACACGTCAATTTCCTGTATTTCATCGACATTTTCAACAACTGGGCTGCCACACAGTGGAGCTTTTTTTTCCTCAAAATTACCGGAGCGAAAGCGACGTAGCCTATATTGGGTAGTATTGACTGTTACAGTATCAGAACCATAAACACTGTTTTCACTTTCAGCTGCCTGACTTGCGGTTTCATGAAGCACAATTCCCCTCCTGTTGGACAAAGCTGGACGCTTATGGACGATTGCTTCCTTCGGACAGGCCAGTTGCTGACACTACTAAAATGATCTCTTAAATGAAGAGTGGAAACGGGAGGAGTACCAAAATTTATCAAGAGTTAAGGTCTAATTTTGACAAGATTTTTAAATTTTTCTGTTAGCATAAAATCAAAGCTTTCGATGAAGCTCCAAAAGCTTCTCAGAGACTATTTAGAACTAAGGATCCTTGCATTTTTAAAAATAAATTAAGCCATGCCTAACAAATCGGCAAGAAACTGGGCTAAAAGTTGCCTAAACGGTTTTAAAATACGCATGCAAAACATTCCAACTACCGTTAACTACCATACGGTCACATATTTACTCACAGAATACTAAACCTAATTTCAATTCAGCTGTGTTTACATGGAAGATGTATATATGTATGTATGCATGTATGTAGATATACACCGATCGCATCTATTGCCAACATATTTACATACATACATATGTGCGTCGTTATGTCAAATGTGGAGTATTAGACTCACCATATTATATACCTGTCTATTTAAATACACACATACATACATACATACAATATTCGATCTGCTGGCAGCCAAACCTTATCTAGACTTACCTTGACTTGTGCGTTCCGCCAGTCAATTCCTGCTAACACATTGGCACAATTCCCCACTTTGCGATCGATGAAAAAAGCAAAAACAACAAGAAATATAGCGAAAGAGGTTCTATGAGAAAGCAGTCTAAAGAGGCAATAAGAATTGCAAGACGATGCCAGGTAATGGTAAAATATGTCTGTATGTATGTATGCAGGTACATATGTATAGGCAGAACCGCGCACCAAAGTTGCAACGTTTGGTTGTGTAGCGAAAGGCAACCAATAATACGTGCATATATGTATATGTAAGTTTGTATATATGTATATACATACATACACTTCTAAGCAATTACGAAAGCTTAAACAACAATCACAGCAGCAATACAATAAGCCCCACAGCTGTTTAGTTGCTAGTTGATACAAAATACATAAATATGTATGTACATATATACATACATACATACATGCACATATACGTACCACGAATTAAATATGTATGTATGTATATATTTGCCAAATAAAAGCCATAAAATGCGCAAAATTGCAATGTTTGTATGTACACACATACATACATGGTGTCTGGCAATTGTTGCTGTTGCTGTTTCTGCTGCTGCTGCGACAACAAACGGCTAGAACATGTGCATATTCGCCGCCAGCAATGGATTACTTGTTGTTTTACTGATCGTGCAAAGCCACTTCACACATAGAATCTTGCATACATATGTACATATGTTTGTATGTATGTATGTATGTATGCATGTTAGTATGTATGTTAGTATGTACGTGTTGTTGGCACCACTGCAACTCGGCTCGTGCATCTCTATTGCGCTTGCGCACGCATTTTCTTAGCCATTTTACTGTTGTTCTTGTTGTTGTACCGGTTATTGTTGCTGCATATGGTCGTCACATTGTTTTTCCTGAATACTTGAAGCTGTAGTTATTTAGCGTTTTGCTTTTGCGGCGTCACAAGACCTTTTAAGGCATTCAAACAAGGCCAATAGTTGGTGGCTGGGACTGTCATGCATACGTGTATAGAGGTTATACATATGTACATATGTTATGTATACATATATATCTATATATGTACATGTATAGCTGATTTCCTTTGTAGTTTTTTGTATTTTTTTTTTTGTTGCATTTCATTTCAGCTTTTCTATGCAATGTCAAATGTGCATACTCTAATAGTAGTAACCCAGCAAGAAATGCGACAAGTTCAGGCTTTGTCAGCGATTAGTTAGAGACACTGCTCATTCGGTTGAGCTTAACTGCTTCCTTGTGTTTCAGCATCTCCTGTAACATTTAGTGCTTAAATGACTATGAATGTAGAGTGATCTCTTCCTACACCCATTGACACTAGTTCATTAAATTATAAAAAATTAGTGAAATCGGGAAAAGTCAAATTTGTTTCTGGAACTTTATAATCTCTGCTTTCTGCGTTCTGCTTCTAAGCCTAGTGCTTGCAAAGAAAACTATATTTACGAGTTATTAGTTTTTTTAAAGCAACTTTTGTATTTTTGAGTTTTTTCTTTATTCAAAAAAGTTTCGAAACTTTGATTTGATTTAAAAAAGATAGACCAATAGATAATGTTTACTTTTGACAAGTTTTTTAAATTTTTTTGTCAGCACAAAATCAAAGCTTTTAATAAAGCTCCAAAAGCTTCTCAGCGACTATTTAGAACTAAAGATACTGGCATTTCTTGAAATAAATTAAGCCATGCCTAACAAATCGGCAAGAAACTGTGTCAAAAGTTGCTGATTTGATTTAAA